AAAAAAAAAAAAAAAATAGTGCATCCATATCAATTTCCTATTCTCGTGTCACAGTCAAAGCTGGACAAACATGCCTGGCTAAAGAATTGCATGGTTGTTTTCTTTCTTTTCTATTTATGTATTGCTTGAGACATGATCACGTTATTTTGCCCAGGTAGACGTTAAACTCCTGGGGTCCAGTGCTTCTTTTCCTTTGCCTTCAAGTAGCTGAGACCACCAGCATGTACCACCATGCCTGGCAGAGATTCTTTTCTGAACATACTAACTAAGTAGGCCAAGATTTCATTTAGACCAGTAAAAAGAAAGACTGGAAATAAAATTGGAAAGCATTGCTTTTATGAAAGATGTAGCTCAGATCCCGGATTAAATCCACTGTTCCAAAGTTGGGGAGAGAGACACAGAGACAGGTCTTCTTTTTCTGTTTTACATTATTCTTCCTGGTTGTAATTCCTGGAGTGCTTATGTTAGAGGAAAGCATCCCAGCTACAGGGGTTGTTTCCCAGAGACTCTGAGGAGGAAAGCATCACCAGTTCCCTTTGAATTTGTCAAGTGTTACAGTAGTCATCCAATAATGTGACATTACTTATTTTGTCCACTGGAGGGCAGTATACTGCTGCTAGTACCAGGTTCTACAGTGTGACCTGTGAGAACTAATTTATGATCCATAGTTTTAAATCCTCACAGCAACAAGCACCTAAATAAAAGAAGCCCCTTTAGTACATGTGCAGGCATAGAGGAAAAGATGGAAATAGCATTAATCCTGACTCCACTTCCCATTCCTTACTCACGACCCTAGAGTAGGCTAGATTTCCAGGGGTCCTGAAATGCTCCCCATTCATGCTGACTTGTGACATAGGGTGTAGAGTTAATGGTTTCTTGGAGAAAACGGCTGGTCTCTTTAGATTTCTGTGTGTCTCATTCTGGACAGAAGACAAGATTAGGAGACAGGTATTATTGGCCAATTTATAAATAGGGAGACTAAAACTGAGGCCTGAGAAGTCTATTAGCTAGTATAGCAATAGGAGCCCGGCCTTGTCTGGTGCAGTGGTGCATGCCTCTAGTCCCAGCACTCAGGAAGCTGGAACAGGAGAGTTGCTTGAGCCCAGGAGTTGGAGATTACCTTGGGCAATACTGTATAGCAAATCTCTGAAGGAAAGAAGGAAGGAAAGTGGGGGGAGAATTAGAAACAAAGCTTTGTCTCTCTATTCTCACAGCATCCTGTTTTGCCCTTAGCCACGCTAGTATAGACTGATGATAGTCTCTCAGCCACTGAGTGGAAATGATTAGGGCCAAAAAGACTGTTTTTCATTTGTTGCACTAGCCTAGCATGGAGGAGAGTGCTGAGTATACGGGGAAGCATGAAGTGGAGTAAGCCTGGAAAGGAGAGATTATGGGATGGGGTAGAATGCACCTCTACCTAGTGATTCTCCCATTATCAGCTTGGATAAATGAGGACAGACATATCTGGAAAGACAGAGAAGAAATAGTAATGATATTGCCTGATGAATGCATTAGGAATAAAAGCATCCTGTGGGCTTGTGGCCTATTACTACTTCTACCCTGTCAGTGGATTCCTCTCACTCTTGTTTTAAGTGTCAAAAATAGTACCTGATAGGATGTACCTGAAGGATTCCAAATTCTACAGTTGAGTACTATCGTGACCATTGGTTTCCTTTATTAGTGTCCTCATCTAATAAGTGCAATAATCCTGGCAAATTTCTACTGATTGATTATTGGGTGTCAGCCACTGTGCTGGAGGATTGTAAACATGAGCTTATTTCATCCTCACAATGAAGATGAGGGAAGTGTTTTTTAAGAGATTCTACAAAGCTGGATAAGAGTAAGTGGCCCAAATAGCAGATAAGAGATGCCGAAATCAGGGCACACAGACCATGGGCACCATCAATAATGACCATTGGTGCATGCACAAACATTCATATATAATTTTAAAGTGTTACATATTTGTGTACAATAGAAAAAAGGCAGTTAACACATAATGCAACATCGAAACCTTCTTTAGATATAGAAGAATAAACACTGAATTTATACAAACTTTTACAAAGCTCCCTAATACTCCATTAAATACAGTATCTATTTCTTTCACCAGGTTTTTCACCCAATCTAAACTGCTTACTGCTTCTCTCTCTTCAATTCTCCCACCCTCAGACACTGGGGAGGTCACCCTCTCCCTGAACAGCTTGTCCAGGGCTTAGGTTCTAGTGCCCTCTCCCATCTCTTCTCCCCAGCACAACAGTCCCAGAAAACCAGCTTAGGATCTATAAATTGGATGTCAAGTTTCAAATGCCATCTGAAGCTCTTGTTTGTGTGCAAGTATCTCTAAGTACTGGAAATGTGTTGACCTAAAACACACCTGTAAAATCAATGGGGAACATCCTTATAAATGTTCACATTTTGAATGCAGCGTTTCTACTCGGCAAAATGCACCAGTTAAAAACATTCCTGTTCACAACGGCATCCAAAACTAGAGTACTTAGGAAGAATCTGCAGGTGATTTGTGAATACTTAGTGAAGAGTTTTAAAAACAAGAGATTTAAGAGCTGGAGATTTAGCTCAGTGGTTCTGCTGCCTGCTTTGCAAGCGCAAGGACTGGAGTTTGATCCCGGATACTGCCACCCCCCCAAAAAAACAAATGATTTAAGAGAAAACTTGAAAACAATAGAGATGCTTATTGCACTGTGAGATTATGTTGTGCACCCACCACCGTGGTGCTTTGTGTGTGTGTGTGTGTGTGTGTGTGTGTGTGTGTTGGTGGGGATCAAACTCAGGACCTTTCGCTTGGGAGGCAGTGGAAACACTGAGCTACATCCTCGGCCCTCCATGGTTTATTTTGGATTCCAAGCATGTCCTTAGAAAAGAACTGAAGGGGAAAGGGAAAGAAATAAGGAACACTGCAGGTTTACCAGTCCAGAACCAGACCTTTTTCACACAGTAAGGCTTTCTTTTGTTTTCTTTTTTTAAAACAAATACTGAGGTGGGCAGGTGTTTCGGTGCCAGGGTCACGGTTCCTTTCCCCAAGAACAGGAGGGGACTGTCGCAGTGGACGGGTTGGGACGGTGCGATGCTGTGAGCCCCCGGAGCAGCTGCGCTCCACCACGCGCAGATCCCCGGGGGCCCAGGCCGCGAAGCGGTCAGCGCCGCAGTGGCTGCCCCGTGTGTGGTACGCCAGGCCCGGTACTCAATTTGTCGCGAGCAGGAACTTGGCGGCGCCCTCGCAGCTGAGGCCCCACAGCTTCCTGAACGTCTCCCAGCGCTCGCACTGCGCGCCCAGGTCCAGTTCGTTGGGGACGCGGCCGGCACCCGCCGGCTTTGGCGCCACAATGGCCCCAGGAGTAGCCGATCTTTAGGGCGCGCCTGCTGGACCCTCCGCCACCAGCCTTTCCCCTCCATCACCTGGCTGCCACCGCTCCCTGCCTGCCTCGTGGCTCCAGACGGAAACTCGGACAGGTGGGCACTGCGCGCGGCTCCTGCCCGTGACCGCGACGGCCGCACTGGCGGTGAAAGGGTCCTCGGGCCGCTTTCGCCCTCGCCGCTCAGATGTCGATGGGTGCCCCACACTTACGGCGGCATTTGCAGCCTTTCAAGCCAGTGCCCACCCATCCCCATTTCCTAATCAATCATGAGCAGCCCCCTATCTGCTCCAGCAGGATGGACCACTTGTTGAAAGTGATAGAAAGAGACCCTTCACTTCACCCCATTAAAATACTACTGGGGCCGGGGATTAAGCTCAGTGGTTTGGTGGCCTGCCTTGCAAGCGCAAGGACCCGAGTTCAATCCCCGGTACCAAAATAAATAAATTAATTAATTAAATTAAATTAAATACTTCTGCTCCCTGAACCTCCGTCAGCAGGCAGTCATTCACCAGGCAGGTGCTGGACACAGCACTAGAGGGCTCTGGGGCAAGTGTAGACGTGTTAGGCTTTCTATACCCTCCTCCTCCTTTAGAGCCAGCCACAGCTATAATAGCTAACTAAAAGTGTGGCCTTTGCTTTGAGAGGACTCTCAGAGGTGGGTACTAGGAACCCAGAGGAAGGCCCAAGCACATAAGTTGGATGGGTGTATGGGGGGAGCTAGGAATGACACCTCTTATGTCTCCCAGCGGCATGGAGTCCTTAATTATTAAGGAATGTTCCCTTTCTGTTCTCAAGAATTTTCTTTATGAGGAAGTCTACTTACACCTATTTCCGCTTTTTCCAATTAAGATTCCTTTCCTTCCCACCAATTTATTGTTTGTTTTATTTGGTTTCCTCTGTCTCATCCATCTCTTTCTTCTTTCCTGGTTTTCTGTACTTTCCTTGAGTGCTTTATGAGACATTTTCTCAGCAGTTACTCTCCCATTTAAACTATACTTATATGTCTAATCGCAGTCCTCTGGTATCCACTTTTCACCATGGAATCCTCAGTTCCTCATAGATGATTTCATCACTTAAAAGTTGTCTGAGGTATGACATGATTTTCTGTTTTGTATTTTAAGCTATTCTTCCTATTTACTTTTAATCCATACCAATTTATGAATGCAAAGGATTCTGATCCATATATGACTTTCTTGGCTATGACCCTAGGCATATGATAGACTCTTAAAATTCCAGGGTTGTAGTTTGCCCTGTCACTGTGGGGAATCATGGACATTTCACCATTGTTTCTCTTTTTTTCTCATTGAGTTTATTGGTACATTTTAGGTATACAGTACAGTTGCATTCATCATTGGGATCTTGTACCTTTACATGCCATGTCTTGGTTCTCATTTTTTCCCCTTATCCCTGCCCTCCCTTCACCCCCTCCTCCCTTCCCTATTTACAAATACTTTATTTCCATTTTCTCATATTTTTTTATTTTCCCTTATTTCATTTCCCCTACCCTTCCCATTTCCTCTACATCTTTAGTGCTTTTCTTCCTATTATACATTGTCAACTATAACATTAGGATCTTATGTACAATTCTAGTTTTTCACACCAGAGAAACTATTCGGTATTTACACATGTGATTTATTTATTTCACTTAAAAGCATATCCTCAATATGCATCCATTTTCCTATGAATGACACTAGTTTCTCATTCTTTATGGCTGAGTAGTACTCCATTTTATAGAAAAGCCACATCTTTATCCAGTCTCCAACTGCCACCATTGTTTCTTTAAAAGCCACCCTGCAGCTGAGTGATGAGTCTGGAGTAGAACATTAACTTTACCCCTTGTAAGGTAAGCACACAGGCAAGCTATGCGTATGTCACTAGATGATCTAACCGCTTGTCATGTCTTGAAGAATATCATTTCTTTCTCTATCCCAATATAATGTCAAAAGTTCCTTTCAAGTACAAACAGATATATTTTAATCAGATCACCCTGACCACTAACATTAGTCGATCTTTACACATTTGTTAATTAATTTTATCCGGAAGGACTGTTTTCAGCAATCACACGGGCACTAGACCCTTTCTAAGGAAAACATTATGTCAGTTTTCAAATAACATCTGTCTTTCCTGAACTGAGATGAATAGAAAACAGAACCACCATGACCCGATAAGTGTTCCTTGGAATGATGTTTCCAGACCTTCTACTCACATTAAGATCAAATATAAAAATCTCACTCTTTCACCCTGACACTGCAGTCTTCTCTTGCAGTGTATTGAGACACTTAATTTTTCTATATTTCTTAACTATTGGTAAATTCTTTTTACCACTTGTGATATCAGCCTCTCTCACACCCTGCCCTACTCAGCAACCACCTCAGTTCTCTGATGAGTCCAAAAAGGACATTGTTTTCTTTCCTCTCTGTATGTTGGAGCTGAAGCTGGAAGTCTCATTTGTGGACATTGTTGCATTATGTCAAAATCAGTATATGTACATGATTTGCAAATATCATGATAAAAATATGATAAGTACTACAAGAAGCAGATAAAAAATTGGAAATATTTGCCTGGGGAAGCCAGAAATATTGAGTGTATGTTGGCCAGGTGCGTATGTGTGTGTTTGTGTATGTGTATATGTGTAGAAGGGAAGTGAAAGAATCAAGTAATTTCTGTTTTTATTGAAATCTAGTATGATTATTTAACTTTGAAAATCATATGCAGGGGTGCATGAGGCCTTGGGCTCAATCTCCAACCCTGGAAAAAATAAATAAAAAATTATATATATATGTGGAATTTGAGGCTTGATGTTTTTAACGTTACAAATAGTTCCACAATTTCACATAAGCATAAGAAGAAACCACAGAAATGAAAACTGCAATTTTAAGATTAAATTACCCCAAATGCATATAGTTGTTACAACAGCTATTGCCCTTTGTTTGTTCATATCAGTTATCACTATCAGTTAATTGCATGTATTAAGCATGATCAATACAGGAAGTGAGGAAACTTCTGTCTCAGGGGTAATAGAATTTAAAACAGAGACAAAGAGCACAAATTCATAGGCAAAACTTTCTGATGAGAAGGAATAGAAAGGACCTTGAGCTTGAGGAGCTAAAGGGTACAGTACTTAAGGAAAAAATTAGGCTGACCTGTTCACAAAGGAAGGGGAAGCTGTGCAGCATTTGCAGGGGTTAGCTAAAGTCCAGGAATTTGTACTGCACCTGGACAGTTTCAATAGCTGCTTTCTATTCCTGGGCAAACATCTAGGCCTTGAGGAATGAGTGGCCAGCTTTTCCCAGGAATTACTATATTCATTCCATTAATGCACCCATCCCTCATAAATATCCTGGCCTTGTGATAAGGATGGGCCCCTCTACTTGCTAACAGATAATATGGTGGAGGGTTAGGAGGGGGAAGAAAGCACAGTAGCTGTTTGAATGAGTAACAGGTTAAGGATCCTGATACTTGTTTGTCCTCTGTCCCTCTGTGGTTATCCTTAACAGTTTATTTCTTATATCTAGTTTATTCTGGGATCAGTTGTGGTGAAGGCAGCCTGACATTAATGGTGAATCTGTTTTGTGAGGTCTATAAGGTTGTTTGGGTGAGCGAGGGGGTAGGGAAAAACATATGCAGACTTTTAATGGGTAACAGGCCCAGAGATAAAGCCCAGGAGTGCACCTGCCCTTTATCCCCGTGGTGGTTTCTGACTGCCTCATGATCACTAGAGGTTTGAACACCAAGTAGCTGGAGGGGGCAGATGCTGATATGAAAATGGCCTCTTGTTAAATATTGGCTGGAGGAAGGAAGAGGGTAGTATATTTCCATTTTTGAGAATGAATAAATCAAATCTGTAAGAAATGCAAAGGATTTGCTGAAATTTATGAACTAAGTGGAGGGTAGAGCATATTCTCTGGAGTTTGTCTGATGTCAGTCAGCATCCATGTTCTTCTCTGTATCCATCTCTATCTGTCCTAGCCAGTCATGTTGTGCATTGATTTCTGACCTGTAAGACTTTGAGCTGATAAATGACTGTTGGCTTTAGATGCTAAAGGTGTAATAATTTATTTGAAACCAATAAAAAAATCTATAAACATTGTGGCACCTAGATATGGTTGCTGCCATTGCAGATATATACAAATGTGGGTAGGACTTTGTTACTGGGCAGAGTGTGAAGCCTGGAAGAATTTTGAAGTATGTGGTAGAAAAAGCCTAAATCCCAGTGGAGAGACAGGTAGTAGAGGTCTGAGCTTTAAGGACACTGCTGGTGAGAGCTCAGAAGAATGGAGAGCCTTGGTCTTATGAACCAGACAGTGATAGACCAACCATCAAAACATGTTTCATTAAACAGTTGAAGGTAAAGCCAAGTGTGGTGGCGTATGCCTGTAATCCCAGCACTAGGGAGGCTGAGGTAGGAGGATCGCTGTGAGTTCAAGACCACCCTGGGCTGCATAGTGAGTTCCAGGTCAGTCTCAACTACATAGTGAAACCCTGTCTCAAAAAAAACAAAAAACACACACACGCATAAACAATTGAAGGTAGTCTAGAAGTAGATGAAAGGAAAATAAAACCGTAGCAATTCATAAGAGGCATAAATAAAGAAATCAAGGAACAGATTTTTAAAAAAGAAAAACAAATTTAGAAACATTGCTGGATGGGCACGATAGTCGAATTGAGATAGCAGAAGATGCCTTTATTATACTTGAGGACTGATTAATACCATTTTCTGATCTAAGCAAGAGAGAGATAAATATGAAGTGAATGAACAGGTGAAAATATCCATAAAATGTAAGACAACAGCCAAGTCCTAACATCCCTATGATTGGAATCCAGAAGACAAAGTTTAGCTGCAGAATTTTTTTAAGAAAGATAGGCTAAAAATGTCAAAACTTGGTGAAAAATGTTAAGATAGACACACTAAAAAATGAGTGAACCACAGAGAGGAGAAGCACAGATACATCTATGGCAAGACACATGGTCAATACAAACTTGGAAAGGAGCAAGTCCAAAATGATTCGTTACTTGTAGGGTAGTGGTAGTGAAACTATGGCACATGTGCCACAGCAGGCACACAGAGCCCTTTCCTGGTCATGCGAGCCATATTTCCCCAGTATCACCACAGCAGCCTAGCATCAGATAACAGGGCACATAGGGGCCACGCACACGCTCAGACAGGAGTAGCGGTGCCAAGAGATGACATCAGGAGCCACAACTCATTAGCCCCAACTCGTCTGAGATTTTGCTTGACCAGTAAGTGTATTGCCAAAGATAGCTAGCTAGCCAGATTTGCTTAGACTGGCTGTAAGTTTTAATACAGTCATTTTTATTAACACAATATTTTAGCTTTGAGTTTTTTAATGAAAATTTGAAATTTAATATCTAAGATATACCAAAGAAATGTTCTAATTAAAAGACTGAGATTATTTTAATGTTGTACTGTCCCCCTGAAATGTTTGAATCTGTAGCATGATACTTAGTTGTTTCTGAAGACTTTATGAAAACAAGACCAAGGAAATATATGTATATTTGTTTGGATTGGCTGTGAAAAGTCCCCTCTCTGTAAAAAAAGAGAATCAGTCACCAGACACACAAAAGCCATCTTAGGATTCCTATACAGATGGCACATATAGACTGAACAACAGGCTAGGAGATGAGTTGCTTTCTGACAAGTATCAAGGAAGGATCAAATAAATAGATGTTCCACATGAACCGTATCAAGGCATCTTGATCTATAACCTGTTAGTTCCTCATACATCCTTGAAAATTACAGTAGTTTTTCTCTTAAATGTGCTTTAAAATGAAAATTTACATTAGGAATCCAAAGGGAAAAGAACATTGCTGATCATAAGATAGAACAAAAAATAAATGTGATAAAAAGTTAATCTTGTACATAATTTTGAAATGAGGAAGTGAAACAGATTTATGACTCTCACTATAAATGAATACCTCAGATATGTTCCCTTATTTCACTAAAGCCTTCCAAAACACATATAATTAATCTGCCTTTATGGATGAAGGAACCAAGTGAGACCTTGAGAATGAAAGGACCAACCTAATGGACACAAAGTAGTATATGCTGTAGAGAAGGCAGAAAAGCAGAGCTACTGGATACCAAATTATTGAGGACTGGAGAAAGAGACTTTCTTGTGTAGTCTACCTTGCTATGTCTCACTCTTTTTTTCCATTCTCACAAATCCAGCTCTCTAAGCATTTCACCCTACCTCCTCCTCACACTCATAGGCATCTCAGGGCCTTTTCCTAAGATCTTAGTAACAACACTGACTCTGGTCTTTAAAAACCTCTGACATCGGGCCAGGGATTTAGCTCAGTGGTGCCATCGCCTGCCTCGCAAACAAGCACAAGGTCCCAAGTTTGATCCCTGGTACAAAAACAAAAACAAACAAACAAAAACTCTGACATCATAGAGAGTCTGCCATTTTGAGTTGCCCAAGATTGCCATTTCCTGTGTTGATACACTTGTACATCAGTTTGGGAAACACTCATTGTGATAAAATTGTATATGTATTTCAACAGTATTACATGACCTTTTTTAGCTTCTTGAGTATTTGTCTGGTTTTTTTTTTTTTTTTTTTGCAGTTCCAGGGATTGAACCCAGGGCCTCACGCATACTGTGGGGTTCTCTTCTAGCAAGCTACAACCCTCTCCCTGAAGACAGAGGCTGGAAAGGACATTCATCTGGGCTTGTGCCCCTACTTGATGTTCTTTGAATGTGTAACATCTTTACAAAAATGCACTCATCTTCACCGTGACACTTTCATAAGGCAATATAGTAAGAAAACAACAGAGGCTAGCATATAACAAGCGCATATTTGTGTTAGCTCTTGCAATTGTTTCTTATTAGTCATGGAGCAAAAATTCACATGGAATCTTTGTCTCAAGTGCACATAGCCTGAGGTGTAGGCAGCACTTAAAACCACTAGGGAGCTGTCATCCATACTTCTTTGACATGAAAATGGAGTATAGTGCAATTCAGAGGATAAAGTCACATAGCTGTGAAAAAGAAGAGAAAGGAAGGAAACAGGCCTTCTGGATACTTACTAAGCTCCCACTCACCCAAGGCCCGGTCATTTCCCAATGTCTCATGTGAGAAAGGAAGATAGCCTCTTACACAGTGCACAGTGTGACTAGGGTATTGGTAGGGATTCCCTGGGTCTCTGGGAGCACACAGAAGGGACACACACTACTAGCCAACGTAGCAAACTGTTCTGGACCTTGCTTCCCTCATTTATAAAATGGTTATAGAACTACATATCTCCTAACTTTTTAAGTATTTCACATGTCGTGATAGAAGAAGAATCTCATGCCCCCATATATATCGAGTGGACAGCAGAAGTCATCTATCACCATTAACACAACATATGTTATCATACCAAGATATTTCAATCAAATGTAACCAGGCTTGGTGGGGTCTTCTTGGGACTAAGAAGTACATAAATTAATTTGTTGAGCCCATACCTTTCCCCTACACCATCCCAGCCAGACATCGGTAGAGATTCCACAAGCAATTCCTGAGACTTGCCTCTCTTCACACCCTCCTCCATGTAGGAAGCATGGGGACCATGCTGAAGTGTGTGAAGTGTGTTGATGTTACCACTGTGTCTCATTTACAAAAACAAACTGTAAGTTTTTGAATTGTAGTTAGGTGAGTTGTAGATCACTGGTAGAGTCATCTGTCTGTTTAGCAATGTTGAGGATTGAACTGAGAGCCTCAGAAATACAAGGCAAGTGCTCTACCACTGGACCATAACCCCAGCCCCAGAATTTAAGTGTTTGAAGTGGGCACGAAGTCACCGTTGGTTTCTACAGTGATTTCATGCTCACAGTTGGACATTGAAAGATCTGGCAACACCAGGATGGGCTGAAGATCTCCTGGTGGGGAAACCCAAATAAAGACCTTTTGGTGTCTGAAAGAAATTCTTATCATGGAGTAGCAATGTCTTGTGTACAGAAAGCCCAGGGCACATGCCTGCTGCACCAGAGGACTCTCATCTCTTCAGTTTGTCTGGTCTCACATCAAGGCAGAATAGTGTCAGACAGGAAGAGAAACTGTCTTTCTTCAGTGTATCTTTGTGTTTACTAGAAAATCTTTTTCTAGAAATGCTCTGATTCAGACTTTATCTTCTTTCTTCTCCTCTTTCTCCTCTTCCTTCTCCTGCTTCTCCTCCTGTTCCTCCTCCTTCTCTCTCTCCCTCTCCCTCTACCCCTTCCCTTTTCCTTTCCCCTTCTCCTTCTTGAATTTAATCTTGCTAAATATGAAAGATCTATATTCCATGGAAATGGATGCTTATATATCTTATATTAGAAGAGATTCTAATTCTAGGTAAGATAAAAGAAAAAGAGAGTTATCCTTTGACATGACGCAACCAAAGAGAGTAGACAAAATATAGAATACAATGGTGTCCCAAATTTTGGACATAAAGCAGTCAGAGTAATCTGTAGGGTGGGTGAACATAGGCAGAGCCTAATGGACACTCTGAGTACTGGCAGATGCAGTAGGAATACTAGTCCATCCTAGAGAAAAGGAGATCCTGCCTCATTATCTCATGTGTGCAATCTAAAAAAGTGGATCTCATAGACATAAAGAGTACAGTGGTGATGACTAGAGGCTGAAAAGTCAACTCTCAGGGAATTTCAGTTAGGAAGAATAAGTTCAGGAAATCTACTGTATATCATGGTGACTCTAGTTAATAATAGCATATTAATTAAAATTCATGAGACTGTATTTTAAGTGTTCTAACCAGAAAAATATCATGTGAGGGTAATTTGCTTCATTTAGCCATTATACAATGCACACATATGTCAAATATGCTGTACACCACAAATGTATATTTGGCAATCAAAATAAACAAATGAAAGAGTTTTTAAATACAAGAAGAAGTAAATGTACAAATACATTCATAACCACGCTTAGGATCTCTTCTTCCCATGACATAAAAAAAATAATAACTCAAGGTGCATCAAAGATGTACATAGAAGAGCAAGGCATATCAACCTCTTAGGAGAACAATGAGAGAAATTACTTCTGACCTTCCTTCTGATTCTTGAGATGAATCCCAAACATATTTTGCTGGTAGGGAGCCAATTCCTGAGCATCAGACTCAAATGTCCAGTTACCCAGTGTACATCCTGGGTGTTTTCATAAGCCACTTCAAAGGCAGATTACATCTCACAAGTCACCAGCAAATATGTGCAGGCCCCCATGTCCAATACAGCTGTCAGTTCTTCAAAGAATTACCCTGGTACTACTCAGTCACCCAACTCTGAAACCTTGCCTCATAAAGGTTTGAATGAATCCAGCTTACTGGTTGCAGAAACACCAGGCTACTGAGGAGACATCAAATGAGTAGAGAGACCCAGTACCATCTACGCTCACACATCAACCTCACAGAGCCTTAGACAGAGTCCAGTAAATTTACTCTAGTATACTAATCAGCTCAGTCTTCTACCTCCTGTAATGAGGAAACTTCTCAAACACCTCCTACTTTAGGGAAAAAATAATAGAGCTCAGGAGGAACTCTCAATTTCCTAACATCAAGTAGAAGACACACCTGCAACTGTATCTCCAGTTGTTATCTTCCTTCTACTCATGACAGAAATATCACTCTTGATGTTGAAGGATAAGCCCTCAATGTGTGCTTTGAATCTCATCCCTCCCATCTTTGCAGGCATCCTACACTATGAATTATGTATTTCTCTCTTTATCCCTTCCTCAATTTGAGCCTCTCCTTCTTTAACACATCTTTTCCATCAGGACTAGTGCATGCTCTAGTAACACTTTAAAACACTGTAAAAAGAAATATTCAAAAATCCAAAGCACCTTCCTTCTTCCTCACATTTCCATCTGGGTGCCACCTTATCTCTTCACATTCACAATGAAACTTACAGTTCTCTGCACTTGTCATATTTCCTTTGCCTATTCATTCTAGAACAGGCTTCTCCCTCCCTCCCAAGAAAAATTTCAGCAGAATTGCTCTCTCAAAGAGCCACAGTGATGCTCGTGGTATTAAATATAGTAGCAACGTCCTATCCTCATGCCACCCAATGTATCAAGAGCATGAAGAGGATCTAATACTGCTTCCTTCCTGAAAAAATACTATTCACCTCTCAGTTTGTTGTTTTCTTCTGAATGAGCCACATTTTCCTATTTCTTTGTATGTGATGTGTGTTTTGTTGAACACTATATATTTGAATATTATAATGTGGCAATATTTATAATCAGATTCTCTGTTTTTCCTGGGGCTTTTTCCATTCCCGAATTCTGAATGTTATAGTCATTCATTTATGTAGAGATTTCTCCAAGCTATTCTGGGAGCTTTCACTTCCTCCATGTCTGCTCATTGATGTCTCTGTTCCCTTAGCTTTGATTCGTCTTGTGTTTTGACAGCAATTTCTTTGAAAACCCAGCACAAAAATAAATGAATAAATACACGCACACAGTACTTCTAATAGTCTTTGTGGATTTGTTCTGGGATGGCACACTACTGTAACATTTAGCTGGGTCTTTTACAAACATGCTTTAGCTTTCACTTCCTGCTTCCAATGAGTCCAGAGGTCACTTGAAGCTTCACCTGAAGTCCTGGGTACACATTCCTGGCTTGAATGGGCCATCCTGAGTAAAGAAGAATTGTCTTGGGCTGCATATAAAATATAAAGTGTAGGTAATGTACATACATAACAAAACTCCTTTTGGTTTTTTGTTTGTTTTGTTTTTTTGGTACTGGGTATCAACTCAGGACCTTGTACTTGTGAGGCAGGTGGCAGCACCACTGAGCTAAATCCCCAGACCCGAACTCCCTTTGTTTCTTATATTGTTATTACAACACAGGCTTGTCTGATCTATGGGGTGCAGATTGGACACACCAATTAGGGTTTTCTCAGATCTTAGCAAGTATCACCTGTGGCCATGCACCTAGCTTTCTATACTCCCGGCATACACTGGTGCTTCTGAATGCTCCAATTTGCCCCCACAAAAAATCTCTCTTCCTACCTTTTGCTCCCAGTCTCTAGGCCATCCTTTGCAGGTTTCAATCCTAGTCTTTTGACTCAAAAAGCTGTAGTGTTTTTTCTCTGTGTTTACAATGTTTTCAATAATTCTCCATCATGTTTCTGCCCTGAGCGAGTTCCAAGATAAGCAAAACAGAGAGGAATGTCTTGCATCTCTCCTTCACACAGCAGTTTGGCTAGAGCAAAGGAATTTTTCAATAAGGTCTCCTTTGCCCCTCCCGGTACTAGATACCAATGTTTTACATTGTGGATATAGAACTCTGTACTTAAGAGCTCCACCAAATCAGAGAAAGATGCATCAAGGGCAAATAAAAATGCCAAAAGTTGCCCTACCGTTTTGTTCTTCTGGATTTTTTTTTTTTTTTTTTTTTTTTTTTTTTTTTTT